AGGAGGTGAACAAGACATGGTCCCTGTCCTCAAGAGCCAGCAGCCCACAGCCCACCCCCACCTCAGCCCGTGCAAGACACCTGGACAGATGGACGTACATTGGCATTGCTTTCCTTGATGAGTTCAGGCCCCAGGTTTCCTGCTCCTAGGGGCGCTGGCTCTCCTACTTCAAGCTGCCACTGGCCCATGGCTCCCAGGGCACTTTTCACACGCCACTTTCTCACTGGGGAGAGAAGCAAGCATCAGGATGAGAGTGAAGAGAGGGTCTCTGCTCTTTTCTGTCGAATCACCGGCACCACACTAGGTAACCAGCACAAGATGAAAGTGGGAGTGTTGGGCCTTTACTCTCGGCTTTAATTTAAGGAGGGACCTCACAACTTCTGAAATTTCAGTAGAGCATTTCAACATTAGACAACCTGCAAAGCGCATCTCATGGGCGCTCAGGCAAAAGGAACTGGAATGAAGCTCTGAGAGGAGCCAAGTGGAGTCAAGAAACCCTCAGGTATGGCTTCAAGCAAAGAGAAGAAGTGAAAATTAGGAAAAGGGTTGTTTCTGGTAATGGAGAAAATCTGGATCCCAAAAAGGAGTTGAGGCACATTTTTTCCCTCAAAAACATGCAGAGGAAAAAAGAAGAGGGTGAAAGCTGTTGGGCAGGTCTGTATCATGATTCAGAAAGTCCAAATATAGAAATTCACTCATTTCAGGTACACCTTGCTTTAAAAAACAAAAACAAAAACAAAAAAACGCCCCAAAGCTGCATTTAAACAAAATTGTAGGCACATGCCATATTTTAAATGCACTGTTTATAAAAGATCTAATGAGAATTTTTTGTAAAAGGGAGTCCTTTTAGAATGCAAATAACCATCTCTATTTTACCTTAACAACCCAGATGCTTGCATAAGATTTTAAGGCGCATATATTATGAAAATTATAAATCAAGAAACTAGTTGAATGGACAGTACCTGAAAACCCCTGCTGAGATTTTCATTTTCAGGAACCATGCAGTCCATCACTGCAGGGGGATCTTTTCTGAGCTGTGACCTCCCATCCTCCAGTTCCTTTCCCTTCCTGCTGCATTTGGAATCTGGGGGCTGCCTGCTATGGTATCCTCCAGCCTGAGGAGCCCAGTTGGTGCTAAAGACCAGCAGCCTCTGTAGCTGTTTAAGGAGCTAAACAACTCAAAAAGTGCATAGTACTCGGTTATAGTTGTTTCTGTTTGTGTCTTCTTCCAGGTAGGAGTTGATAGACACAGTCAGGTTCTCAGCACTAGGCAGGCCAGCTGTTTACTTTAGACCTTTGGAGCAGCTGTGTCAAATCCAAATGCCCTTATCGCTATAAGTAAGGCACACAACCTGAACACAAAAGTGTGCTGTAAAATTAGAATTTTCCCTTGGATATGTGTTTTTATAAGGTCTGCTGCATTCTGCAGTGTGATTTTATTACCTCTTAGGGCCAAAAATTTTCCCTAGAAACACATTTCCAAGTTTATAATGAAAATTAATAAGGAAGAGTAAAACTTGGAAATATGCTTTATAGGCAACTTTTTTTCCCCCACAAATACTTCTCTCTTAAGTGAATGGACTGTGACCAGGAGTATATCCAAATCTATTCAGTGTTAATACCTCTCTTCACTGGAAGCAGCCTTCTGGGGGCCTCTGTCACAGTCACGAACTCAGAAGTGACAAATGCCTCTGAGCAGCAGCTTATTGTGAAAAGATCCATGTACCCTACTCTATACTACAGGAAAGATCACTCTCAGATTCTTGCTCAGACTAAGTATAAAATGCTGTGTGTAGAATAAGGCAGGAAATTACTTTTTTTCTCAGGCATATTGACAATGGTATGGGGACAGCTCACATTGGACGGCAGTGTCAGAACCACATAAACACTTGGGACCATTTAGTGTAAGGGCAAACAAGCACCCTTAGACTCCAATGGTGCCACTTTATAATAGAACACAACCATCACAGATTTTAAAGGTGGAAGTTCCTTTAGAAAGCATCTACTCCAATGTCTGTACTTTTAAAATGAAAAATAGCATTTCTTCCCTGACTGCTCTCTTTCAACCCCTGCCACTACTCTCCAGGAAACAGAGTATGAAGAATTACTGAGGCTCAAGGAGACAATCTTACAAATGCCACAGCTAAACTCCGGGCCTTGTAACTCCAAATTCAGAATTTGAATTATTAATAAAACTTTATTCTAAAAGTGTTCAATAAGCATATGTAATATTTTGAAAGGTTTCTGTTTTTTTTTTTCAAGTAGCTCAATTAATTTTTTTATATTTGGCCTTTAAAGGGTAAGCTTTGATTATCTGAAAAAGTAAAATATGAGGACTACCTCACTACCTGGGGCTGGATAAGTGAGGTGCCCCGTTAAGTCATGAGCCTTGCTAAATTGGGTGTCCTAATGCACAATACAGCACCAGGGTGGCCTGGAGGGACGATAACCACCCCAGGATTTTCTGTGCACTCTTTTACTCCAAGAAATTTTGAGTTTTACACAGAAAACTTCCCAAGAAGTACTCAAAGAAGGAAGAGTCAGCTGCTGGTTTCCTTACTTCTGACATTAAAAACCACTCAGGGAACTTGACACCTCCGGCTGCTTCACCTTTATTTTTTGTTTAAACATCTTGAGAATTAAATTCTTTGTTAGAATGCAGAAGAAAGTCTCCTTTTCCATTCCCTCTAGAGATAAGACCCAATAAAAGATTTTGGTGAAGTCCTCCTTATTTTTCCCATGCACAAGTGCACATGTGCAAACGCACATGTAAAAATGCACACTTTGTCTTGTCTTTCTTGTCCCTGTCTTTGTTCCTGAACTCAAGGACGGCTCCTGTGGCAACAGAAGACTGTTTCCACCTGCTGTCACTCTGATTTGATTATATGTTAAACCCAAACTGGTGTGTGTGGGGCAGCTTCCCGGGCCGCTGTCATATCTTCCCAGCTGAGCCCCAGCCAGACCCTGGAAAGGAGACTTTCCACCCTGGTGAAGGGTCTGATGGGGAATATATAAAGGTGGTGGTGCCTGGGGGCTTTTTCCTAAGTCAGCAGGAAGCAGGCTGATGTCCCAGACTGCTGAAAGGAGGCCCCATCTTTCAGGTGGGCTGGAAAGTAGACGTCCTAAAGGCCTCTTTCCCCAAAGCTCCAAGCCCTGGCCCACTTCCAATGTGGATAATTACATTCCCCTTCCCTAAATACTCCCTGCAGCTTAAACTGGATGCAGGATTCTTCTTTTCTGCCCTAAAACACTGCAACATTGCTATGTGGCTATTAAACAGCTGCCATGTCCCATCCCAGAGGAGGCCGAAGGGAATCGAGTGGGTCATTTATAAAGCCAGTGAAGTGCTTGGGGATGAAAGTGCTCAATATCCTCCAAATGCAGCCTCGGGTGGTTAGGCTGGCGGTCAAATACCAAAGCAGATTAAGTCGGTAATCCGAATGTAATCGCTGGGGGATGGCCTGCCCTTCAGCCTCAGCCCCCTTGGACATGCTGTGTTCTTCTCAGGCTGGTTTGATGTTCCGATCATTGTTATGGGGCCTTCAGTTTTTTCCTCTATGAATACATGCAGCAATCATTGTGGGGGGTGGGAATGAATAGCACTGAGAGGGTAGGAAAAAAAATAGGACACTAACATGCTTATTAACACCAACTGGAGGAACTTTGTCCCAGACTGACGCACACCTATTGGCAATTCTTCGTCTGTAAATTACTTTGAGTTTTTCTAACAGAAAACCGGTTTGGCTAATTTTCAAATTTGTATACTTAGCTAGAAAAATGGAAACTATTCCTATTTATTGCCACAAAAACCATGTCCCTATTTTGCTTCATAGAATGCACAAGCAAAAGCCAGCTCAAGCCCTGGGATTATTTATACTTAAAAATTAATAATGAATAGTATTTTGCCAGGGCAGCTGGGGTGGTGGGCAGGAAGAAGAGTAAGAAAAAGATCTGCTGTTCTAGAGCTGGGCCCAGTGGCTCCAGTGAGGTCCTCCTGTCTGCTCATCAGTCCACACTCAGGCCTTTCTGGGCAAAGAAAAACATAGTAAGAAGAAAAGAAAGTTGGATTTAAGTATTCTCAACTCCCAGCACTATGTTGTTGAGGACTAAAGCCTGGACTCTTAATTGGACAGAACTAGGCTTAAATCCTGGCTTAGAAACTAGCTACATAATTCTCAACAAGGTGCTTAACCTCTTTGAGCTTCCATTTTTTCCAAATGTAAAATGGAGACAAGAGTATCTACCTCACAGGGCTTTAATGAGGATGAGTAAATGAGGTAATTCACATAGAGCACTTAGCATGGTGCCCAGTAAGAGTCATGATATTAATATCATTGTTAGGTCAACTTTAGCCAAACAGTGTTCTCCTGTGAACAGTCTTCTCCTCCATTTCCGCTTTTAAGAAAGAGGAGTTTGGAAGCCACGGTCTATTCCCCACCTGCCACCAGGAGAAATGACAGGTTAATGTGGGATATCGGGGCACATGGTGCTACAAATGAAGAAACCTGGACTTGTTTTTAATTTCAGTTTCATGTCCAAGCACAACAAAGACACCAGGTTTTATTTGTTTGTTTTTACAGCCGCAGCAGCTATAGCTGTTTTATTTGCTCTGTGTGGAGGAGTAGAGAAGTGGCATGGGGGGCTGGGAGTGAGGAGCTGTGGCTAGTCTCTGGCCTGGTTATGGTGGTGGCTAGTCCACGTGACCTCTGCTTTCATAAGTTCTCCCCTGTTAGGCATTCCAAGGCTGTCATCCCCTGGGAGCACTATAAATTACAATGCATTGTGAGGATATTACTACTGTATTGGTTTCCACCGAATCAGTGTCATATGCTAAACACATCAAGATTTTTAATAGCACCAGACTAAACCAATTGGGACTGGAGCCCAAGCAGCTCATAATAAGGAGGGATCAACACTTCACTGTGTGACTGAACATGCGCAGGACAAACATTTTAAGACTGGAGACTGAGGGAACGCAAGCCAGTGTAATCCACGTTGTCGGTTCTAGACATTTATGAGCTGTCAGAAAAAGGGAAAAAGAAATTCCCTCACCAATACTACCTGTCGATCAGGCCCAGGAAGAAATTAAAGCCAAGAATAATGACAGGAAAATAAACCAGCCCGTGATTCCATCATTGGTCTTAGCATTTCAGATGGAACTTAATAAAGAGACCAACTCCCACTGCTGACAGCCTTGGGCCCTGGGTCAAAGAGCCAGCCACCTAGCTCTGGGAAGCTGGTTAATGCTGATGTGCACACCTGGGAACACAGTGGACAAATCGAATAATTCCCAGAAATCTGAGCTGGAGCCGCTACCCATGAGCCTGTTCTTAGAGGAAAGGCGCTGCAGGAATGAAAGTGACCACACTGCTTTTCTGGCGGTGACGACCTACCCACACGAGAACATGCCTCTCGCAAAGGATCTCCTTCATCCCTCCCCGGAAGAGGAGAAGAGGAAACACAAGAAGAAATGCCTGATGCAAAGCCCCAATTCCTACTTCATGGATGTGAAATGCCCAGGATGCTATAAAGTCAACACGGTCTTTAGCCATGCACAAACGGTAGTTTTGTGTGTTGGCTGCTCCACTGTCCTCTGCCAGCCTACAGGAGGAAAAGCAAGGCTTACAGAAGGATGTTCCTTTAGGAGGAAGCAGCACTAAAAGCACTCTGAATCAAGATGAGTGGGAAACCACCTCAATAAACACATTTTGGATATTTAAAAAAAAAAAAAAAAAAAAGTGACCACGCTGCAAAATCACTGTTTTGACCCTCTTGGACTGAGATGTTCTTCAAGATGAGGACCATATTTTACAGTGTTGCCTTTGAGGCAAGCTCAGAAGCTCTGCCTCTGATACTCGCTTGCTCCTGGTGTGGCTTCAGAAAACAAACAAACAAACAAACAAATAAAAACAAAAAAAAAAAACAAGGAAAAACAAATTGTGGTGAAAGTCTGCCCTTATCCCTCCTAAACATACAAGGCTGACTTCCAATACCACCTCCTCTGTAAAGTTTTTTCCCAACTGTTTCTCTACATCTTAGAATTACTCTCTCATTTGTCTGGGGCGAAGGGTAGGGATGAATTTTACTGGTCAAAAGGACTTGCACTCCACTTTCGGTGCCCAGATTATTCGCAGGAACATTGTTGTCTCGAGGGCTTCAGTCTCTCCCAGCTTCTACATTTGATCTAGGCTCCTGCCTCAAGCCTAAGGCTAGGAGTGGTCACTGTGCTTAGGTCAGCACCAAGTATTCCTAAAGGCCCACTGGGAGCCTCTGTCACTCACCAAGTAGTTCACTCGTCTTCTCGTCATATTCTTCAGCCATTTCCTTGCCATCTGGGAATAAATAGTGCACCTTCCTTCTCCCTGTGCACAAAACAGAGAGCGCCTTACCTCAAAGCCTCCCCTTGCCCTGTCCCTTGCAGATCAAGGGGCCTATCTGGGAAACAGCACCAGCCTTGGGAGTACTGAGGAACCCAGCCAGGGCCTCCCCAAACTCCTTGCCAACCATCACCCACCATTACTTTAAAACATGTCCTGAGACTCTCTCCCTTTCTGAAGCTTTCCTTGAACATGTCTTTGCTGTTTCCTCTACCAGCAACAGCTCCATACTTTTTCCTATCTATGGAACTCTTCTTTGCCCTTCAAAATCCAGCTCAAATGTCACTTCCACTGGGAAGTCTTCCTCCACTATCACCTCCAGCCACCTTGGTAGGATTAATCACGTCCTCATGTGTGCCTCCCTAATGTTTTACTCATATCCATAGTGGAGCGTTTACTACATACCATGATACTTTTAAAAAGCATTTGTCTTCCCGTGAATGACAACATATTTATCTCTCTCTCCCCACTTCCTAAAACCAAGCCTATGTGTTCAGGACATTGAATTAGGTTTCCTGCCAAGCACTCCCTCTAGCCATGCCAGTGCCCTGCCTTCTTCACATCTCCAGGCCATTCCTATCATACAGTAACACAACGCTAAGTCCTCATGCATTTTCTTCATGGCACTTACTTTGGTTATGATTTTACATCTATTTATGTGACTCTCTGATTATTGCCTCTCTTCTACTAGATAGGAGGGGTTTCATCCCCATGCTATGGTTTCCTAAAGACCAAGCGTGGCTCCTGGCATATACTAGGAGCTGAACTAAATACTGATTGAAAGGATGAATAAACATTGATGCACTATCCACTGAAAGAATAGAAGAAACTAAGGGAGGCCGGGTGCAGTGGCTCACACCTGTAATCCCAGCACTTTGGGAGGCCGAGGCTGGCAGATCACAAGGTCAGGAGTTCAAGACCAGCCTGGCTAACATGGTGAAACCCCATCTCTACTAAAAATACAAATAAGTTAGCTGGGCGTGGTGGCGGGTGCCTGTAGTCCCAGCCACTCAGGAGGCTGAGGCAGGAGAATTGCTTGAACCTGAGAGGCGGAGGTTTCAGTGAGCTGAGATTGCACCACTGCACTCCATCCAGCCTGGGCAACAGAGTGAGACTGTCTTTAAAAAAAAAAAAAAAAAGAAGAAGAAGAAGAAAAAGAAACTAAGGGAGTCTCCTAGCCCAATTCCTCTACCCATGGAGCATTTGCTTAAAAGTGGCTATGTAAGGCCGGGCGCGGTGGCTCAAGCCTGTAATCCCAGCACTTTGGGAGGCCGAGACGGGCGGATCACGAGGTCAGGAGATCGAGACCATCCTGGCTAACACGGTGAAACTCCGTCTCTACTAAAAAATACAAAAAACTAGCGGGCGACGTGGCGGGCGCCTGTAGTCCCAGCTACTCGGGAGGCTGAGGCAGGAGAATGGCGTGAACCCGGGAGGCGGAGCTTGCAGTGAGCTGAGATCCAGCCACTGCACTCCAGCCTGGGCGACAGAGCGAGACTTCACCTCGGAAAAAAAAAAAAAAAAAAAAAAGTGGCTATGTAATTTCCCCTTTCTTTTTATAGGTAGGGAAGTAGATACAGGCAGACCCCTCAGTAAAACTAGTAACAGAGCACTAACATCCAGTAGACAAGTACCCTATGTATGCTTAATGAATAAGAGCCCCAAGGTGCCTTTTTCCTGTCCAATTCACTTCTCTGGTATACAGTTCCCTTGAGCCATTCCTAATCGGTATTCTGCGTAAACTCACCCCTAAATTTGCAGGGCCTCTAGCAGAGCCCTAGGTTATACCACCCTTAATCATTTGGATGGCTCACAAGCATTAGAAAGGGCTCTCCTGTCAGGAGCTTGATCCAAGGTACTGCCTGGGAAGAGCTGAGGGGGTCTTGCCTGACCATCTTCTCCCCTTGGCATCTAGCCTTGAGTCCAGACAGGATGCAGTGCTTACGAAATCCACCAGGCATTTCACATGTCTTAACAAATTTAATTCTCACAATAATCCTATGTGTCTTCATTACCTGTATTTCATAGATGAGGAAAACTGAGGGCCTTTTTTTTTTTTTTTTTTTTTTTTTTTTAACAGAGTCTCGCTCTGTCGCCAGGCTGGAATGCAGTGGCGCAATCTCAGCTCACTGCAACCTCTGCCTCCTGGGTTTAAGCAATTCTCCTGCCTCAGCCTCCCAAGTAGCTGGGACTACAGGTGCATGCCACCACACCAGTTAATTTTTGTATTTTTAACAGAGAGAGGGTTTCACCATTTTGGCCAGGATGGTTTCAATCTTCTGAACTCGTGATCCACCCACCTCGGCCTCCCAAAGTGCTGGGATTACAGGCGTGAGCCACCACGCCCGGCCAACTGAGGCTTTTTTTTAGAGAGTCTCGCTCTATTGCCGAGGCTGGAGTGCAGTGGTGTGATCTCGGCTCACTGCAACCTCTGCCTCCTGGGCTCAAGTGATCCTCTACCTCAGCCACCACCATGCCCAGCTAATTTTAAAATTTTTTTGTAGAGATGGGGTCTTACTATGTTACCCAGGCTGATCTCAAACTCCTGAGCTCAAGCGATCCTCCTGCCTTGGCCTCTCAAAGTGTTGGGAATACAGGAATGAGCCACCACACGCAGCCCTTAACTTTGTTTAAAGTGGGTTTTCCCAAACAAGTGTTTTTGTTTAAGAGTGTCTGCCTATGTTCCCTAGGCTGGAGTGCAGTGGCTATTCACAGGCATGATTATAGCATACTACAGCCTCAAACTTCTGGCCTCAAGCAATCTTCCTGCCTCAGTTTCCCTAGTAGCTGGGATTACAGGTGCCCAACACAGGTGTTTAGTTTTTATAAAGTCAACTATATATTTTCTTTCTTTGTGGTTACTGCCTTAGAAGTTGCGCTCAGAGTATCCTCCCTTACTCAATGATTATGCGATACTTATCTATACTTTGTTTTAATAGTATATTTATTCTAGAAATAAATGTATATATAAATTATTAAGTATATTAGTATATTTTTGTAAAAGAAAAAATAACTGTGAGTGTACGCATGGAATAATATAGAAGTTTATGTATAAAAATATAAATTATGGGCTGGGCGTGGTGGCTCATGCCTGTAATCTCAGCCCTTTGGGAAGCCAAGGCAGGCCAATCACCTGAGGTCAGGAGTTCAAGACCAGCCTGGTTAACATGGTGAAACCCCGTCTCTACTAAAAATACAAAAAAAATTAGCCAAGCGTGGTGGCGGGCACCTATAATCCCAGCTACTCAGGAGGCTGAGATAGGAGAATCCCTTGAACCCAGGAGGCAAAGGTTGCAGTGAGCTGAGATTGCGCCATTACACTCCAGTTTGGGCAACAAGAGTGAAACTCATCTCAAAAAACAAAACAAAAAAAACACTAAATTATGATTATCTGGGTAGTAATATTATATGTGACTTATTTTATTTTTCATATTTCCACAATGAATTATTTCTTTAAAAAATCAAAAGGACATTGAATTCTCATTATCCAACTCAAGATATCAATAGCCATGATTCTTGGTGGAGGGGAGTAACCCTCCCCCACTCCCATATCCCTCCTACACACCCAGGGGTAAATCTGCAGGTTTGATAAGGCAAACCACATATGCAATACTGAATTGTTTTTCAGTTTGGGGATAGGGTAGAATCTAACATCATTTTGTGATGCTACTAACAAAAGAACTTAACAAAATCCTGGCTGATAAAATATTTGTTTAAACACTACTGTGGGCCGGGCGCGGTGGCTCAAGCCTGTAGTCCCAGCACTTTGGGAGGCCGAGACGGGCGGATCACGAGGTCAGGAGATCGAGACCATCCTGGCTAACACAGTGAAACCCCGTCTCTACTAAAAAATACAAAAAACTAGCCGGGCGCGGTGGCGGGCGCCTGTAGTCCCAACTACTCAGGAGGCTGAGGCAGGAGAATGGCGTGAACCCGGGAGGCGGAGCTTGCAGTGAGCTGAGATCCGGCCACTGCACTCCAGCCTGGGCTGCAGAGCGAGACTCCGTCTCAAAAAAAAAAAAAAAAAACAACAAAAAAAACACTACTGTGACCAAAAAGAGTAAAAGCAGGGACTGGAGTGGATCTTTGTATACTCATGTTCAGAGCAGCATTATTCACAATACCCAAAAGCTGGAAGCAACCCAGGTGTCCATTAACAGATGAATGAATCAACAGAATGCAGTATAGACATACAATGGGATATCACTCAGCCTTAAAAAGGAGCAAAACTTTGACACATGCTACAATATCCATACCTCTGTGCCTACCTCTTCCAGGCACAGCCCTTGGTCCTTGCTGTATCTCCCCTAAAAACATGGGGAACATTTAGAGGTTTACTTTACAAATGATATTACAGCCAGAAAGGACCTCAGACATAACAATCGTAGCCCATCCACTTCATTTTACAGATGAGGAAAGTGAGATCCAAACAAGTAAAGGGGCCGACTAGAGAGCCTGTGGTGAATTAACGGCACAGCTGGAAGCATCCAACTGTGGCAACATGGATGAACCTTGAAGCATTACGCTAAGTGAAATATGCCAGTTACAAAAAGATAAATATTGTATGATTCCACTTAGATGAGGTTCTTAGAGCAGTCAAATTCATAGAGACGGAAAGTCAAATGGTGGTTGCCAGGGGATGGGAGGAGGAGGGAATGAGGAGTTGGCGTTTGATGTACAGAATTTCACTTGAGCTGAGTGTAGTGGCACATGCCTGTAGTCCCAGCTATTCAAGAGGCTGAGGTGGGAGGATTACATGAGCCTAGGAGTTCAAGGCTGCAGTGAGCTATGATCGTACTACTGTACCCCACAGCCTGGGTGACAGAGCAAGACCCTGTCTCCAAAAAGAAAAAAATTTCCGTTGAGAAAGATTAAAAAGTTCTGAAGATGGTGGTGATAGTTGCACAACAATGTGAATGCACTTAATGCCACAGAACTGTACACTTAAAAATGATTAAAATGCTAAATTCTGTGATGTATTTATTACCACAATAAAAACAGAAAACCACTGTCCTATGAGAAAATGTCCTAAATATTTAGCAAGGCATAAGAAATCTATCACAATATGTCCCAATTTATCTGTAACCTCTCTTCATTTTCCACAACATCCCCTTATTGCTGCTTGAGAAAAGGGACCTTTTTATTCTCCCTTCTATCCTGGCATGTAGCATAGTACCTGACATAGTTACAGGTGGTTTGTTCTGACTGGGTGACTGCTTTAACATTACTAAACGTTTTGTTACTCCCCTAGTAATCAGGCACGTACCTTCACACCTTTACATATGGGCCCTTATATGTGAGTCGTTCTTCCTTGAATAGCTATCCCCTCTTCTTCACTCAGCAAACACCTATTTTAATTCTTTTTTTTTTCCTGTTTTTTTTTTTTTTTTGAGACAGGGTCTCGCTGTGTCGCCCAAGCTGGAGTGCAGTGGCATGATCTCGGCTCACTGCTGCGTCTACCTCCCTGGCTCAAGTGGTCCTCTGGCCTCAGCCACAAGGTAGCTGGGACTACGGGGCATGTACCGTGATGCCGGGCTAATTTTTGTCTTTTGTTTGTTTGTTTTTTGTCTGAGACAGAGTCTTACTCACTTGTCACCCAGGCTGGAATGCAGTGGTGCAATCTCAGTGCACTGTAACCTCCGTCTCCCAGGTTCAAGCGATTCTCCTGCCTCAGCTTCCAGAGTAGCTGGAATTACAGGTGCACACCACCATGCCTGGCTAATTTTTTTGCATTTTTAGTAGACATGGGGTTTCATCATCTTGGCTAGGCTGGTCTCGAACTCCTGGCCTCAAAGGATCCGCCCACCTCAGCCTCCCAAAGTGCTGGGATTACAGGCGTGAACCACCACACCTGGCCATAATTTTTGTATTTTTTGAAGAGATGAGGTTTGGCCATGTTGCCCAAGCTGGTCTCGAACTCCTGAGCTCAAACGATCCACCCGCCTCAGCCTCCCAGAGTGCTGGAATTACCGGCGTGAGCCACTATGCCTGGCCTTATTAATTCTTCAGGACCCAGAAACATCATCACTTCTGTTGGGTCTTCTTCCAAAGACATGTCGCTTACACCTTCACTCTTTCCTACCATTTTATACAAGACTACAACCTCTATTTAACACATCTTATTACTTAAATACATGTTTTTCCCAACCAGTCCAAGTCCTGTGACAACATATCTTTTTCTTTCTGTTCTAGTTTAGAGCTTGGCACATAGTAAAAGCCTCCCTAAATGTTGCACGAACGAGTAAATGATTTTAATTTCCACAAACTCCAGGCTTCCCTGATTGGCCTCTGCCTGTGAATGTGAATCACCAGCTATTATCTTGAAAGTCTCAGGAACTTCAGACACAATTCATCCTGGTTACCCAGTGGGTCCAGAAAGGACCCAAGTGCACAGGGGGCTGACATCGGCCAATCCTAGGGTGAGGAAAAGTTAGATATCCATGCCCCTGTGCCCACTTCTTCCATGCACAGCCCTTGGTCCTTGCTCTAGCTCCCCTTAAGACACAGAAAACATTTAGAGGTTCACTTAACAAAAATATTACAGCTGGAAAGGACCTCAGAGATAACAACGGTAGTCCATCCACTTAATTTTACAGATGAGGAAAGTGAGGCCCAAACAAGTAAAGGTGCCGACTGGAGAGCCCGTGGTGAATTAATGGCACAGTCGGAACTAGAGCCCAGGCCTCTCTCCTCTCTAAAGTCTAAAACATTCTTGGATTTCAGTTTCCTCTTCTGTAAAACGGGGTGGAAAATTAGCCTCTCAGGACAGTGGTGAGGAGCAAATGAGATAACGAATGTAAAAGAAATTACTATATTAGCAACAGAACTCAGAGCGGGGCGAGATGGTGTAGAGAAATTTAAGGGGTGTCCGGAGACATGTGTTCTGGTCATGTCATCTCTGTGAGCCTTAGTCTCCTCATCCGCAAATGCAGGACCTGGCCCGGCTGACCACCGAGACCCTTCCAGCTCTGCCGACCCAGGCCCTGAGGCCCTTCCCGGAGGGCCGGACCCTGGGGGAAAAAAACGAAGGAGCTCGCGGGGACCCTCGAGTTACCGTCCTGCAGCAGTGCAGTCTTCTGGGCTGTCCGCAGACTCTCCAACCAGCCCGTCACCGCCATCTTTCCTGTGCTAAGCAGCCCGCCCGGCCGCTGCCATGGCAACCGTTCCACTGAAGGTCACTTCCGGCTGACTCGGAAGCTATTCTGGGCATTTGCCCTCCTTCCCCCCTTCGTCCGTTCTCATTGGCTCTCCTGGTAAGTGGCCTACTCCTGCCCACCCTCGGGTGACCAACTTGGCCTGTTGTCGACCGCACCCGGGGACTGACTCTGGCGGTTGGAGAGAGACTCTTGGCGCCGGGGTTGGGCACTCCAACTCTCTACTAGCCCCGAGCTGGGATTCCCTGGCCTGCGCCAGCTGCGTACAGGGCGAGTACACCACACCTGCCTGGGTCTTCACCCCCAGCTGCGAGACTCCTCCATTCCCGGAGGGCTCCCCACACCTGCTGCGGCCGTGCCCCATCTCCCCGCAGCTGCGGCGCTGAGCATCCCCATGTCGAGAGGCTGAGACCAGGGCAGGTGCAGGGCGTTCCCACTCACCCGCGAAAGTCCGCCTCCTCAGGTTTTCCTCTGCAAGTCTGTGTTGGAGGTAGAAAAAGAGTATGTGGAGTTTATGTGCAGGTCCTCCCCAGTCTCCGCTCCATCCCCTAAAGCTCCATTTCCTAGCCCAGCATCCCATTTTGGTAAAGCCCTTCGAAGTGGGCCGCAGCAGGAGGGCTGTGCTGAATCTTTAGAGCAACCCCTTTGAGGAATGGGTATAGTTTCCTACTCCTTAAAAGTACCCCCGATGGCTCCAGCCTTCCCCTCATTTCCCCTAATACTCCAACTTTGAAAGACTGGGGAGTGTGAAGCTAGGCTAAAAAGCTAGTTTAACGGGGTTTGAAGAGATCCCCCCCAACCTCCCGCTTCCCCAAACTGGGCTGCTACCCCCTACCTCCATAGGCAAAGGGGTTGGAGATCCTTAATTCTGTATTTCCACCTGACAGCAGCCCTGACCAACCCTCCAACAGGCTGGGATGCAGCCGTACTTCAATGGATCCCAGGGGTATCTTGAAGGCGTTTCCCAAACGGAAGAAAATTCATGCTGATGCATCATCAAAAGTACTTGCAAAGATTCCCAGGAAGGAAGAGGGAGAAGAAGCAGAAGGTGAGATGACCCACTCTCAGAACCCTCATGCGCTTGAACCCTCAGCCTTCATGTGCTTCAGCCCTATGTTGTTCATGTCCAGAATCAGATATTGGAGCTGACTCTGCCTGTCCATGGACTGCAGGTCTGTTTGTATCTGCCTTGTACTAAGCTTGGTCCTGGGTCTTGGACAGGCCATTTGCTGTGTTATCTTCTTTTCTACCTGAACACCCCTATCAATTGGAAAAGACTCCCTGGACCCTCAGGGAATGACCAGTATAATTTTTGCCCTGGGGGACTGGGACAGAAACCCCCCTCCATTACCCAGGATTGTTGTTAGTTGTTTTGCAGCCAAATTGATAAATAAATAGCAGAGGCTTTGGAGGCAGGGTTGTCGGGTCTGTCAGAGTGTAAGGGCAAGAAATGTGCATTGTTGAAAGAATAAATGATAAAGGATTCAAAGTATGGAGAGAGGCTGGGCGCGGTGGCTCATGCCTGTAATCCCAGCACTTTGGGAGGCCAAGGCAGGCAGATCACCTGTGCTCAGGAGTTCGAGACCAGCCTGGGCAATGTGGCGAAACCCCGTCTCTACCAAAAATACAAAAAATTAGCCAGGCATGGTGGCACATGCCTGTAATCCCAGCTACTTGGGAGGCTGAGGCATGAGAATCGCTTGAGCCCGGGAGATGGAGGTTGCAGTGAGCCAAGATGACGCCACTGTACTCCAGCCTGGGCAACAGAGTGAGACTGTCTCCAAACAAACAAACGAAAAAAACAAAACAAAAACAAAGTAAGAAGGGAGGAGGCATTCATTCAGCAGATATTTACAGGTTACTTACAATGTGCCAGACACTTCTAGGTTGCACCAAGGAACAGGACGTATAAAAATCCTTGTCCCTTACTTTCAAGTACTGGCCTGTGAGAAAATTTGCTGTATATAGAAGGAAACCTGCTTGGATGGAAGACAAATGCTTATTTTCAGGGTAGGGGACTGTGAACATGTCATTCAGATCATGTTAGAAGTTGTATTCAGATCATGTTAGAAGTTGTGGCCAGGGGGTGGCAGATAAAATTAAAAAGTTATGACAGTAGTCATCTGGATGTTCCTTCCCCAGAGTGGCTGAGCTCCCTTCGGGCCCATGTTGTGCGCACTGGCATTGGACGAGCCCGGGCAGAACTCTTTGAGAAGCAGATTGTTCAGCATGGTGGCCAGTTATGCCCTGTCCAGGGCCCAGGTGTCACTCACATTGTGGTGGATGAAGGCATGGACTATGAGCGAGCCCTCCGCCTTCTCAGACTACCCCGGCTGCCCCCGGGTGCTCAGCTGGTGAAGTCAGCCTGGCTGAGCTTGTGCCTTCAGGAGAGGAGGCTGGTGGATGTAGCTGGATTCAGCATCTTCATCCCCAGTAGGTGGGCTGATCCCAGTCTTTTTTTCCAATGTTTTCTAGTAGCATCTTGAGCTCTCTTCTTGAATTATTAAAAATAACTGTCATTAATTTAAAAATTAGCCAGGCATGGTGGTATATGCCTGTAGTCCCAGCTATAAGAGGGTTAGGTGGGAGGATTGATTGAGCCAGGGAGGCTGAGGCTGCAGTGAGCCTTGATCATACCACTGTACTCCAGCCTGGGTGATAGAGCAAGACCCTATCTCAAGAGAAACTCCAAAAACCTCAAAAAACTCATTTTCTTAATTGGACACACTGGGAAACCAAGTATTTCAGAATACATTAGGACTGGGGACAGAAACAGGGTGAGACCTTTGGTGTCTTAACCTCCCATCACCATCCCCACAGGTACTTGGACCAGTCACAGCCCAGCAAGGCAGAGCAGGATGCTTCTCTTCCTCCTGGCACCCATGAGGCCCTGCTTCAGACAGCGCTTCCTCCTCCTCCTTCTCCCACCAGGCCTGTGTCTCCTCCCCAAAAGACAAAAGAGGCACCAAACACCCAAGCCCAGGTCAGGAGCCTTCCATCCCTCAGAGCTCCCTTCCCCTAGGAAGCAGATCACAGAAATGGGGAGGGCCTGATGACTGTTCAGAAAGTCCCATTCCCCGGAGAGAGGAGGACCCCATTGTGAAGCCATATAGCTCTTCCCAACACTCATCACTCCTGCATTCATCTAGGCCGTATCTAACACATACCACTGGGGATCCTAGGGGTAGGCACTGCGGTGAGCCAAAGGGAATGTGGCCCCACACCCGAGGTGATCCAAGTCTGATGCAGAAGGCCCCACCTCATTCTTAGGTCTGACTAGAAGACCCTCCCCCTGCACAAAGAAGATGACCCCCACCTTTAAGGATCCCTTCTCCTGGAGGACAAGAATTTATTGTTTTCTTTTCTTCTCTACCCCAAGCCCATCTCTGATGATGAAGCCAGCGATGGGGAAGAAACCCAGGTTAGCGCAGCTGATCTGGAAGCCCTCATCAGTGGCCACTACCCCGCCTCCCTTGAGGGAGATTGTGATCCTAGCCCAGCCCCTGTGGTCCTGGATAAGTGGGTCTGTGCACAGCCCTCAAGCCAGAAGGCGACCAACCACAACCTCCATATCACAGAGAAGCTGGAAGTTCTGGCCAAAGCCTACAGTGTTCAGGGAGACAAGTGGAGGGCCCTGGGCTATGCCAAGGCCATCAATGCTCTCAAGAGCTTCCATAAGCCTGTCACCTCGTACCAGGTACCCAGGGGCTAGGGTGGGAAGAGGGGTCTTTACTAGCCAGCAGTTAGTGAAGGCGCTGTCAGTCACCAGTGCGGTTCAGGTACAGTGGTGAAGACTTTATGGGGTCTAGGACTTGCACAAAAGAAAAAAAAGGAAAATTGATGAAAGCAGATTGGCAAAATCTTGATAGTGGTTGAAGCTGGGAGATGCGTACTTGGGGGTTTGTTATACGGATCTTTCTACTTTTGAATTTTTTAACATAATTAGAAGTTTTTTATTTGTAATTTTGTTTATTTATTTAGTAGAGATGGTGTTTCGCAATGTTACACAGGCTGGTCTTGAACTCCTGGGCTCAAGCAATCCACCCTTGGCTCAGCCCTGCAAAGTGCTGGGATTACAGACATGAGCCCCTGTGCCCGGCCTAAAAAGTTGTTTAAAAGAAGTTTAGACTCTGAAGCCTAACAGACCAGGGTTTGAACTCTGGTTCCTGTCATTCACTAACTGTGTGACTCCAGACAAGTTACTTAAACTCTCAAAGCATCAGTTTTCTCATTAGTAAAAAGGGGCTACCACTAAGTGAAATGGTCCCTGTAGCACAGGACCTGACATACAATAAGCCCTCAGTAAATGTTAGCTCTTGCTGTTGGAATGATGATGATGGTGATGGTGGTGGTGGTGGTGACTAATATCATCATTATTTTCTACTTCTTATTGCTGGTCTCCATCCTTCTGGGAACCAAAAGACAAATTACCCAGCCCTCATTCTATCCAAAATTCTCATCTTCAACTACACCCAAGCTTTACATAGCCACACAGTTGCCAAGCAGCCAGCGGGGACTTTTACGCCAGCATCTGCTAGAGGAGTCAGCTTCCTTTCCACTGGCTCTACCACTTCCATCTCTTCACTCTTCTTTCTTGCCTCTGCCTCCTCCTCCTCTAGGAGGCCTGCAGTATCCCTGGGATTGGGAAGCGGATGGCTGAGAAAATCATAGAGATCCTGGAGAGCGGGCATCTGCGAAAGCTGGACCATATCAGTGAGAGTGTGCCTGTCTTGGAGCTCTTCTCCAACATCTGGGGAGCTGGGACCAAGACTGCCCAGATGTGGTACCAACAGGTCACACCCTGGCTTAGCCCCTACTTCAGTTTTGCTGTCTCAGAGTTCCTGCCCCAGAGTTCCCTACCCTGTGTTTTGATGGAAATGCACCCACAGTATAGGGAGACCATTTTTCAAGGGGACCAGGACTCATATAGACCCCTCAGCTCCCAGAACAGCCTTGTTGCTTGGTATCCTTAAGAAGGAGTAGACCGGGGCAAGAAGTATGTTTCTCTGTCTCCCCAGACCAGCAAGGGCCTTCCTGAGGAGGCCAGGCCTTGACACTGCATGTCTAGAGCAGTGGTTCCCAATCCGGGCTCTGCCCACAATCACCAGGGCAGCTTGGTAAGGATGAAGATGACAAGGCCCATCCTCAGACTGATGGAATCACGAATGAGTATTTTAGGATAGTGGCAGGGCTGGATGATGGCATGTTTCCCATGCCCCCTGCCTTTCCCAAGTCCTGCTGAGTACAGACCCAACCACCCCTAGGTTGGTCCTGCCTCTAGCCTTCCCTAGAGCCTGGGGCGATGGAAGCTTCATGTGTGTGCTCACTCATGCCTCTTCATTGGTCCTGGATCCTCACAGCTCCCCATCTGGCTGCTTTTTTCCAGGGCTTCCGAAGTCTGGAAGACATCCGCAGCCAGGCCTCCCTGACAACCCAGCAGGCCATTGGCCTGAAGCATTACAATGACTTCCTGGAACGCATGCCCAGGGAGGAGGCTACAGAGATTGAGCAGACAGTAAGCGGGTGTCCCAGAGCAGTGAGGACAGCCAGGTCCTGCTCTAAGGTCTTGGGTCAAAGTCAAGAACCCCCGACTCCTCAGCTGGGGAGCGCAGCAGGCAGAGGAAACTGGGTCACCAGAGGTTGATCACAGAGCAAGTTGAGACTGAAGCTCCAGGCCCAGAGGTGGGGTGGGTGGCTGTGGTAGGAAAGAACTGTAACACCAGCCCTCTAGATTCTAGTTCTCAGTAGTCAGGCCTATTAGGCTTGGATTTGATTCTAGACTGATTGGTGTTAGGATTGGGTTAATGTTAGGGTTAGATTACAGGTAGATTATATCTGTATTACTTGAGGTTAGGGTGGGTCAGGGCAGAGGTTTTTAATGTTTTATTTTATTTTATCTTATTTTTTATTTCACCAACTTCTTTGAGAACCTGATGAAAACTGTGGACTCTATTCTCCCCAAAATGCACAAATGTGCAAAGGTTTATGTCTTTTTTCAGATGCATGGACCTTCTAAAGCCCACGCAAGGCTGGCTCAGGATTTGGGGTAGAGTTGGTGTAAAAGCACAGCGTCAGTAGGATTTGGTTTGGGGTTGGAAGAAAGCGCCATCAAGATTGAGTTAAGGCCGGGTGCGGTGGCTCAAGCCTGTAATCCCAGCACTTTGGGAGGCCGAGACGGGCGGATCACGAGGTCAGGAGATCGAGACCATCCTGGCTAACACGGTGAAACCCCATCTCTACTAAAAAATACAAAAAACTAGCCGGGCGAAGTGGCGGGCGCCTGTGGTCCCAGCTACTCGGGAGGCTGAGGCAGGAAAATGGCGTAAACCCGGGAGACGGAGCTTGCAGTGAGCTGAGATCCGGCCACTGCACTCCAGCCTGGGCGACAGAGCCAGACTCAGTCTCAAAAAAAAAAAAAAAAAAAAAAAAAAAGATTGAGTTAAGACCAGGCTCATGCCTTTAATCCCAGCACTTTGGGAGGCCAGGGTGGACAGATCATCTGAGCTCAGGAGTTCGAGACCAGCTTGGCCAACATGGTGAAACCCTGTCTCTATAAAACACAAAAATTTCCAGCCTGGCAAACATGGCGAAACCCCGTCTCTACTAAAAGTACAAAAATGTTAGCCGGGTGCCGTGGCTCATACCTATAATCCCAGTTACTTGGGAGGCTGAAGAGGGAGATTTGTGTGAACCTGGGAGGTAGAGGTTGCAGTGAGCCAAGATCACGCCACTGCACTCTAGCCTGGGCAACAGAGCAAGACTCTGTCTTAAAAAAAAAAAAAAAAGGGCCGGGCGCGGTGGCTCACGCCTGTAATCCCAGCACTTTGGGAGGCCGAGGCGGGCGGATCACAAGGTCAGGAGATCGAGACCACGGTGAAACCCCGTCTCTACTAAAAATACAAAAAAATTAGCCGGGCGCAGTTGTGGGCGCCTATAGTCCCAGCTACTCGGGAGGCTGAGGCAGGAGAATGGCGTGAACCCGGGAGGCGGAGCTTGCAGTGAGCCGAGATTGCGCCACTGCGCTCCAGCCTGGGCGACAGAGCCAGACTCCGTCTCAAAAAAAAAAAAGATCGAGTTTAAAGTTAGGCTTCAATTTTCTTTTTCCTTTTCCTTTTTTTTTTGAGACAAAGTCTCGCACTTTTGCCCAGGTTGGAGTGTAGTGGCTCTATCTCGGCTCACTGCAAGCTCTGCCTCCAGGGTTCATGCCATTCTCCTACGTCAGCCTCTGGAGTAGCTGGGACTGTAGGTGCTCGCTACCACACCCGGCTAATTTTTGTATTTTTGGTAGAGACGGGGTTTCACCGTGTTAGCCAGGGTGGTCTCGATCTCCTGACCTTGTGATCCACTCGCCTCGGCCTCCCAAAGTGCTGGGATTACAGGCGTGAGCCACCGCACCCAGCAGGATTTTCTTAATGTTGGTTGCTTTTAAGTTAAGATTTGTAGTTGTCCAAGAAATAAGATTTGGGTTTGGTTTAGAGTTGGGTTAGCTATTAAGTTCATGTAAAAGCTAGATTAGAGAGACATTGGGCTGCATTTAGGGGTAGATGTGTCATTTGTTCAATGGGCATTAGGATTAGGAGCTGCTTGTAATAGGCAAGGTTTGCTCACTTTGGTCAGGGATTCTGAAAGAGTGGGATCCCATGGAGTCTGGCCCAGTTTGATTGAAATCAGCCTCCAGCTTCATTCCAGGCCACAAGGCTATGAGGCCGGTATGAGATGGATGGACAGGCCTCTTTGTCTGCCCATCACCAGGCCTTGGTGCTAGTGATGACACCGTCACTCCGCCATGGTATCCAGGCATGGAGAATGCCTCAGTCAGTCCCCAGCCCATTGGAACAAAAGAGGCTTCCCACCTGGCCTCCTGTGCCCCCATTTAAGGGCTCGAGCCATAGAAGTTTTGATGGGATTACTCACATGGACCTCCTCCTTCCATTCTCTTGGGAGGCTCAAGAAGGGAGTAAGGGGATTAGCAGAGCCCTCCTGTCAGGAGACTTGAGGTGTCCAGGGCCCCAGAATTCTCCATGTCCTGGGGTGGAGGCGGGAGGCCATCTGCATATGAAAGAACCTCAGTGTCTCAGGGGTGGAGGCTAATGGGTTTGTTTTTCCTCAGAGGGACAATCCTTCAGCTGACAGTTGCCATCTCAGCTCCCTCCCCACCAAGAAAGGATGTGGCTCTTGGCTCAGAACTGCCCCCTCTTTGCTTTCTTTCCTCTCCTTTCCCACAGGTGCAGCTGTATTTCTGTACTCCACTTTCTCCCGGGCCTGGGCCTGGCGCATGCTGCCAGCCACCTGCTCAGGCCTCAAGCCCCAGCTCACATATTCCAAACCTTTAGCTCCAAATCAGTAGATATCTGGGGCTACCTAGACCTGACTGAGGGCTTTCAGCAACTGGCCCCTTGTCCTAAGTGGAGTTTCACAGACCTGGGCATGTGGGCTGGGGCAGGGGCAGAGAGAGTCTGTGTCTCCCTACTCTTAAAGAGCTCCATGGGGCAAGCTCAGTGCCCACTCTGACAAGCAGAGCTGGCACCTTCTCCCATCTCTTCTCAGGCTTGCCTCTTGCACAGTGAGCTTTTTCTTCTCTCCTGTCCTAGTGAAGGGAAAGAACAGCAGCTCCCCACGGTGGATTCCCGCAGGCTTGCAGCAGGCATTGGGGAATGGGCATAAGCTGAGGGTGTGGGCCCGAGTCCGGGAAGGCCCTTGTGCTGCTGTGGGAGAGGAGCTCCCCACGGCCCCTCACCTGTCACTGCTCTCTCCCAGGTCCAGAAAGCAGCCCAGGCCTTTAACTCCGGGCTGCTATGTGTGGCATGTGGTTCATACCGACGGGGAAAGGCAACCTGTGGTGATGTCGACGTGCTCATCACTCACCCAGATGGCCGGTCCCACCGGGGTATCTTCAGCCGCCTCCTTGACAGCCTTCGGCAGCAAGGTATGAGCTCCATCTCTGGGTGAGCAGGTTGACAGAGGGCAGCACAGGGCTGGGGGCCCCTGAGGGAGAACCTTAGAAGTTCCAGTCCCGAGGCAGGAAGCAGAGGAACAGTGCTTTGCCAGCATCCCATCTCTATCGGGGCTGGAATCCTCTCCAGGGAGAGATGAAGCAGCCCTGCCACACCTATGTGGAGGTGCTCAGTGAACCCTGCAGGCCGAGTATCTCATCTGATCTTTCTGTGACACTATGGGGGAGATGGGAATTACTATCCATGTTTTACAGAAAAGGAGAAGGGCCCAGAGAGGGTAGTGTCACCCAGCTAATACCTGGGCAAGCCCCAGCTTAGAGATCAGGAGAGACCTGAGAGTATGGGATAGCCCAGGCCTGGCTCCCTGCCCTCCCAGTAGTCCCCTCTATTGGGCCAGGGTTCCTCACAGATGACTTGGTGAGCCAAGAGGAGAATGGTCAGCAACAGAAGTACTTGGGGGTGTGCCGGCTCCCAGGGCCAGGGTGGCGACACCGGCGCCTGGACATCATCGTGGTGCCCTACAGCGAGTTTGCCTGTGCCCTGCTCTACTTTACCGGCTCTGCACACTTCAACCGCTCCATGCGAGCCCTGGCTAAGACCAAGGGCATGAGTCTGTCAGAACATGCCCTCAGCACTGCTGTGGTCCGGAACACCCATGGCTGCAAGATGGGGCCTGGCCGAGTGCTGCCCACTCCCACTGAGAAGGATGTCTTCAGGCTCTTAGGCCTCCCCTACCGAGAACCTGCTGAGCGGGACTGGTGACCCATGGCTGGGGGTGCGGAGGAGAGCTGAGTTGGACTGGCTACCCCTCCTGGCCACCCAGTGGAGTACTCCCTCCAGCCTCAGCTGGCCAAACCTTGCTGCTCCAACCACCAGCTTCCTCAGCGAGCTGGGCCCAGGGCTCTGGGCCTGAAGCGAGAGCCAGCATGGCTCCCAGTATCTACCCAGTCCTCTCCCAGACAGGAGCAGGCTGCCTCGAGGAATTTTGCAAGTGGCCCCTTATCCCATTTTAAGCAGGAGCAGGTGGCTGATTTGAAGCCCCAGGCATCCCCCTTCCCTGCTGTGAGAAAGGCTGAGCTGCTGGGTGGGGACAGAAGCTGCCGGGGAGAGGGAAGCAGCTGTGCTGTCAACATCGTCCAAGACCCTCTGGGGTAGGAGAACAGCCATTCCACACGTGTTCCCTCTACCCATGCTGCTTCCTGGGCAGCTGGTGGTGCTGGGAATGGGGTGCCCCAGCCTCTGTGAGGACAGTGTTGGAAGGCCCAGGGGCCCAGTAAAGTGCATCTGACATTGAACCTGCCTGGTGTCTGAACTGCTGCAGCTTCTACCTACCTTCTTCCACCCAGGCAGGGACGACGGAGATGGGAACTGAAAAGAGGAGCCCAGAAAGGCTGTGTTAACTGCCCTCTAGACAGGACTGGCGTGAGTCAGCTCCTAAACTCACAGCAAGGATAGCAGTGGTTGTGACCAGGGAGAATCGTGGAGTCAGGCACCTGGAGCTCCTATCTAGCCATCACCAACTTCTGCAGGCCCTGCCTTAGACCAGGCTATCAGGGACATAAGCAAAAGTGGCAAGACTCAGGAAACCATTAGGAACAACTAAATAGTGACCTGTGTACACAGGGATGGGCGGCCAGGGAAGGCTTCCCGGAGGAGGAGAGAGGCAGACTGGCAGGGAAATTGCCTCTGAGAGTAGTCAGCAGGCTCTGTTGGGGGACAATTAAGGACCAGCTTTAGAGAGGACACTGTGTGCTGGGAGTCAGGAGCAGGCTGGGCTGGTAGAGGACTGGAAGCAGAGCTTGGTTTGATAGAGCAGACGAGAGCAGGTCCCGCTGGGGAGTGCAGGATGGCTTCCTGAGGCTGTTTCGCAGGGCAGGGAGACTTGGTGGGGCAGTGGGGGCATGGAAGGAGATTCAGGCAGCCCAGGTATGAGGAGGAGCGGGCACAGAGTCAGAAGGAGACTGTATTGGAGGAGGAGCGAGGAGCCTGGAGAGGCCCTGTGCTGGGTTTTGGGTGGTGGCGCGTGAGGGCAGCTTTGGCTCCAGAGGGGGAATCCCACCTTGAGTGTGCTGGGTGGGCGACATGCCTGTTGGTAACTTGCAGAGTCGCGGAGCCAGCCTTTGTCTGCCTGGTCTTGATCATGGGATCCTAGCAGCCTGGGAGTAGGCCCCTCAACTCAAGCTCACACCCCTGACGTGTAAGTCAGGGAGTCTTCCCATCACTGATCATATTGGGAAAGGAATCAGAAGCCCACAGGACCTGGAGGGACCTTTCACAGCTCAGCACCAACCCGAGAGATGGCCAGTCAAAAGCCCAGAAGCCTTCTGGAGGGGCGAGCCTCTCCCCCAAGAACGTTTACTCCCAGAGACACATGGCTGCCAAGAGCCACAGTGGGCCTGGGTAGACAGGAGAGGGACTGGGGAAAGCCTGAGCCCCCGGATGTGAAGGCTACTTTTGGTCCCTCTCTGGACTGGTCCCTCAGTGCCTGCTGCTGTCCCCAGCAAGAGTTGGAGTCAGCAGAAGTCCAAAGACGCGTGTCTGGGTCCAAATGTGGAAGTTGCTTCTCTCCTTTTGCCCCAGCCTGCTCCAGGCCCGAGGAACAGGACCTCCAGGGCCAGGGGTGGAGGGAACCAGTGTGCAGCAGGCCATAGAGTAGCTCACCCAAGTTCTTTTCCTACACAGAGGGAGGTCCCGGGACTGCAGGGAGGGATACTGCTTGCTTCTTTGTGTGAAATCAGGGTCTGACCTCCATTCTTGACATCCCTGCCCATCTGCCTTAACTCCTTCCCCCAGGAGACTCAGAATTCAGAGACTGCCTGGAAACCATGCAGACTCCTGGTCCTACCTCCTGGCCAGGGCAACACAAAGTCGTGGGATAAAGAGGGAGCATGCCCCACCTCCAGCAACCCATCTGGGTGACCCTTTGGCTGCCCAGTCTGACACAGAAGCCCAGGAGAACAGCCACTGAGGCAGAGGAGCTGATGGAGGGATTTCTGAGTCTTGAGAAAGGCTTCCCAGTTTGGGGGTGAAATGAGGTTCTCTGAGTCCAAGTAAGCAAGAAATGTGAGTATTGGGGGTTCCAAGGCACTTTAGCGCTGAACCTGGTTCTTGAGCAGGCTTTCAGCCCAGTCTCCCATCCTGCCAGACAGGGAGACTCCATTGCAGGGCCCTGGTGGGAACTCGGGTTCTGTCCAGCAACTGAGCACCCCACACACCTACCACCCAGTCACCACCTGGCCTGGAGTAGGTGGAGAGAGACCCCACAAGCCTGCTCCCTGCTCTAGCCCAGTTCTTCATCACTCTGTCCCTGAGCCAGGGTTGTCCTTGGACGAGCCAGGGTTGTCCTTGGACAGGCCACATGTGGCAGGCAGAATAATGGTCCACTGAAGATGTCCATGTCTTAATCCCTGGAACCTGTGAATATGTCACCTTAGTTGGCTGGAGGGACTCTGTAGATGTGATGAAGCTTAAGCATTTTGAGATGAGGTGATTATGCTGGGGAATCCTGTGGGCCCAATGTAAACATGAGTTCTTAAGAGCAACAGTCATGGCCAGGTGCGGTGGCTCAGGCCTGTAATCCCAACACTTTGAGAGGCCAAGGCGGGCGGATCACTTGAGCCCCGGAGTTTGAGGCCAGCCTAGCCAACATGGCAAAACCCCGTCTCTACAAAAAAAAAATACAAAAGTTAGCGAGGCGTGGCCAGACATGGTGGTGCCTATAATCCCAGCTACTTGGGAGGCTGAGGTGGGAGGATCACCTGAGCCTGGGAGGCAGAGGTTGCAGAGGTTCCAGTGACCTGAGATTACACCACTGCACTCCAGCCTGAGCTATAACAGAGTGAGACCCTGTCTCAAAAAAAAAAAAAAAACTACAATCAGAGAGACTTGATGAGGAAAGGTCAGAGAGATGCAAAGTTTCTGGCTTTGAAGATGGGGAAAGATCTCCAGCAGAGTGTGAGCAACCTCTAGGAGTCAGAGAAGGCAGGGAACAGCTTCTACTCTAGAGCCTGCAGAAGGATGGCAGCCCTGCTGATGCCTGGCCTTATCTCAGGGAGGCCTGTTGGATTTTGAGCTGGTGGAACTGTGAGATAATGACTTTGTTGTTTAAGCCAGTAAGTTGGTGTAATTTGTTAATGTGACTGCAGAAACCCAATAGACTGTGTGTTGGGCTCTCCCTGTACAAAGGCAGAGGGACAGCAAGTGTGAGCAAGCCCTGCTGTGAGGTAGAGGGCATCCTCTGAAGTGTGTGGGGAAAGGGGAGCCTCACATGAGCCCAGGGCCACCACATGTTCAGTCTGAGCCTCCCTAATTTCAGTTTCTTCCTGACACTTTGTGCAAGATGCAAGTCCCCCGTGGGCTGCTCTGCTCACCCCGACTGAGCTCGGAGCTTCATCTTTTCCCAGGGCCTGGGGTGGCGACCTCAGTCTTGACCTTAGACCTACACTAAAAGGAGCAAGACAGGCCCTGTCCTGGGTTCCAGCTGCTCACAGCGCAGGTGTGGGCACCAGAAAGGGAAACAAGACAGGCCCCGGCCTTTCCTCCTGGGTTCTGGCTGCTCACAAGGCAGGTGTGGGCATGGGGCAGGGGCTTCCCAGGCAGCACCTGGAGTGGGCACAAGGTGGGCAAGTCCAGCTGTGTCCCATCCTACAGTTCCAATGGCTGGGAAAGGCAAACCCAGGCCCATTGTCTTGCTTCTCCAGGAGAATCATGGAATTACTCTCCCTTTAAATGGAACAGGATGCCTCTTGCCAGGTTGGAGGACTGGCTTGGAGAAGACTTAGGCACCCCAAACAGGGGCGCCCCTTTCCAGGCCCTCCCCTGTTATCTGAGGGAGCGGCCTCCCATGCAAGTTACAGATGTTGGGGCACCTGCTGCTGCTGGGCTTACAGGCCTTGATGGGCTCAGCCACAGGCGCCTTTGGCCCTATGTCTGCTCTGCCCTTAGTTTTCCAGAACCCTTGGTTCTGGAAGGGCAGTACTGCTTCTGAGCTCTGGAACTGGGGAGTCCTCAGGGATGAAGCCCCCAACTGGCCTGAGGCTCTGGGCCAGGTCTCAGCCTCATCATCCTACTGGGGTGTCTCGGCAAGACCTGGTCCCCACACTGCAGGGAACGTCCCTGAAGAAGGCCCCAGGCCTGGAGATGAAGAGAGGTCCCAGGGGCTGAGGGGCCATGGGTAGGGCTCCGAGGTTGCCCCTGGAGGGCAGTACAGACGCCAGGGAAGGCAGGCCACTGCCCGTTGCTTGAGTGGAGCCTCTTAGCAATGGTGACACCTTTGCCCTGCTGGACTCAGCCTGGCCCTGATGGAGCAGGCCCAGAGCCCCAGACACAGTGCACCTCCCCCCGACCCCTTGCTCCGGTTCCCTCAGCTCGGTTGTTGTGTGTGTAGTGCCCATGCATATGTGTGTTCATGTTCCACTGCAGGGGGATGTGTGTGCCTAACACACATTCCTGGACCCTGCGTCTGTGCTGCGTGTTCATGATTTAGTCTCTGCGTGTGTGTGTGTGCTCAACCCTGGGCACGTGTCCACGTGGCCCTGTCTGTTTAGGTCTCAGTGGAGGCCCTGTGTTATTAAGGGCTCAGGCAGGGTGTTGGGTAGGAGGAGGTGGGAGTCCCTGGAAGTCCCCAGTGGTGCTGGAGTCCCTGCTGCAGGTGGAGCCCTGGCTGGGCCCTGGACCCTGTGTCCTCATGTCCATGGAGGAGGCCGCAGGGTGGGCCGCCTGCGTCAGCCTTGAGCGGCCATCAATAGCATGCGGTTAATTAATTTGATGGGAACAGCAGGGACCGCCGTTTGCATTTAGTGAAGTTCCAGGAACTTCCAACCTCATCTTCATAATTGGCCTCATAAATTGTAAGAAAGAGAGAGATCAGCAAAGCGGGAGGGAGGAGGGGCTGCCCGTCCGTCCTTATTTAATTTTATTGCTGAAATTCATCTTTTTAGCCTCCTCCGCCGGAATCGGCTCTCCCTGCCGGATTTGCCTAATCATGATAAATTAATATTCATTTCCCCGCCTCTTACCCAGCTCCCGCGCTTGGATGGAGTTGGGGAGGGTCTCCTTCCAGCCCCTCAGCTGGGCCTTGGTGGGAGCGTGGGGGAATGAGCTTGTGTGCGGAACTGAAAGTGACACCTAGGGAGGGTAGAAGGGGCCTGGGAGAAAGATGGGGAGTGAAGCAGGTGGGGCTGGATGATTAGGACTCTCAGAGGGCCTAGGATGCTGAGGTCAATGCCCCCTGCCCAGCTAGGGCCAGGTGGGAGGGGCAGGAAGAGCCTGAGAAGGCCCTTTTGGAGATGCAGAAGCCGAGGTCAGGACTGACAAGATGGATCTGGGAGAGGAGCCTGGAAACCAGCTTGAATGGAGAGGTAGGAGAAGGGTTGTTGCCCACCCAACATGGACTTTGCCCCACCCCACCCCCAAGTAGATCCAGCCCACCTTGCCCTGTGCAGACTCCATAATGGACCCATCATGGTCTTTGGAGCCTCAGAGGCACTGTGGTCTCTGACTACAGAAGCAGCCTCTCCACCTGCCCACAACTCAGCTCAGTGGGGGAGCTGGCCGCCTTATGCTGGGCATCTTTGCTGTGCTGTGTGGCTGTCACCGATACTGCTGTCCCTAGCAAGGCCCTATGGGAGGTGGGGATGGGGGTGCTGCTGGAGGGCAATGCAGTCCTGCTCTTCCATGGTCAGTGGGGCCCCCAGTCAAGGGATCTGAATTCCCCATCCCCTGTGTTACAATTAGTATTTATTTGGGACCTGGGAGGAATTTTAGATGCCGTCCAGCCCCCTTGCCCCATTTATAAAAGAGGAAACTGAGGCCCAGAGATGGGATATGCCCTGGTTCAAGGTCTCTCAGAGGTCAGGAGGGCTGGATCCACCCCAGGCATTCTTCCACCCCACCCCGGAGGCTGAGTGTGGTGGGCAGGATTCAAAGGATCACCCCCAGTTATCATTGCCTTTGGATTATCTCTCTTTTGAGTGTGGGTACGAGTGTGATGAGGTGTCACTCATGTGGTCATGTCACATTATATGGCAAAAGGACCTAGCTTAATCACATGAAATCTTTAAAAGCAAAGAGCTTTCTCTGGCTGGTAGCAGAAGGGAAGTCAGGGAGATTTGAAGCATGAGAAGGGTCAGAGAGGGTCCTTAAAAAGCAGCCCCGGCTGACAGCCAGCAGGGAAACAGTCCTACAGCCACAAGGAACTGAATTCCACCAGCAACAAGAATGCACGTGGACGCAGCCTCTCCCAGAGCCATCAGCAAAGAGCCCAGGCTGGCAACACCTGGATTTCAGCTTTGTGGGACCCTAAGCAGAGAACCGAGCTGAGCCTGCTCAGACTGCTGTCCTACAGCACTGTGAGATCATAAGTGGGTGTTGGTTTAAGGGGCAGAGTTTGTGATAATCTGTTATGCAGCAGTAGGAAACAGACTCACAGGGCCTAGCGGAAGGGAGTCTTAGGAAGCTCCTAGGAGGTGGGCAGGGGATGAAGTTGGGAGAGGGCTGGGTGCTCTATCCTAATGCTATCCCTCCGCTATACTCCCACATGGCAGTAACTGACTGGACCGGAAGTCCTCACCATTCCCTACTGCTGTACCTGGGACCGAACCCTGTAAGCATTTACATTTGTGACTCTTGCCCAGGTGGAGTCTGGGCCCCTGCGTGGTGAGCAGCAGTGAGCTTCCCTCTCACAGGAGTGGGTTCTTGACAAGAGGAGTTTCTGTGGCATTGGCTCAGGCAGAGCCTTCTAGGTTATGGGCACTCCAGACAGGCTGATCTGATGCCCTTTCAAACCAGAGTTCCCTTCCTCCTCCCAAACCAGAGTTTTTCAAATGTATGTATTCGTGGTGCCTGGATTGGCGCCAGTAAAAGATGTTTTTGTTTTTGTTTGTTTGTTTGTTTTTGAGACGGAGTTTCGCTCTCGTTGCCCAGGCTGGAGTGCAATGGCACGATCTCAGCTCACTGCAACCTCCATCTCCCGGGTTCAAGCGATTCTCCTGCCTCAGCCTCCTGAGTAGCTAGGATTACAGGTGCATGCTACCCTTCCCAGCTAATTTTTGTATTTTAGTAGAGACAGGGTTTCACCATGTTGGTTAGGCTGGTCTCGAACTCCTGACTTCATGATCCACCCACCTCGGCCTCCCAAAGTGCTGGGATTACAGGCATGAGCCACTGTGACCAGCCAAAGATGTTTTTGATTGCTACTAGATAGAAGGCAACAGCTTCTATGGAGGTTGGAGAAGACCGAGGCACATTTTGCAGGTTATGAAAGCAGCCTCCAGTGAGGAGACCCGAGTTAGCTGTACACTATTTCTGGTTTGTTTCAGCAGAGTTTCACCATCATTTATTGACTCCTGAGCCTGGCCAGTCCACCCTTAACCCATTCTGCACATGGATTATATCATGTAGGCTTCCCAACAGCTCTCTGGTAGTTGTATTATCCCCATTTTGCAGATGAGGAAAGTGAGGTCCAGAGAGGTTTATTTACTAGTCCTAAGTCACACACCATATGAGGAACAGAGCTGGGTTTCAGCTCAGATCTGTGTGACCCGGGAAGCCCAGCTGGTTTCCCTGGCTCCTCTCTGGGAGTGGTTCGAGCCCAGATCTAACTGGGCTTTCTGTCCTAACCTCTTTCCCTCCTTCCCCCTTATCTGAAGCAAGGAGCCTGAGCGTTTTAGTCTGTGGAGGGTTCCCTTGCTGATGTTGAAGGACACAGTCCCCGGTCCTGAAACCTAGGGTTTGGAATCAGCAGTTGCCCGCTTGCCCTGAGGTGGGGTCTCCTGACCCCTCCACCTCCATTTGGGAATTAGTGGTGTCCGAGGCTCCAATGCCTGAGCACTCCTGAGCTCCAGCCCTGCTGGAGGCGGGTGTCTGGGCTCTGTAGCTCAGAGACATCCCTACGTGCCCACCCTGTCCCCCATGGCCCCAGCGGGCCTGCACACACCTGACCCTTTCCCCTCAGCCCTTGGCCTCGTGTCCCTGCACACACCAGGCCCGGCCCCAGAGCCCACACATGCATCACTTGTCCCCATGCCAACTCCACCACAGGGCCTGATGGGGGCCTCACCTGGCCTGAGACGTCCCCTCCCCACAGCTCCAGGCGTCTGCTGAGGAATCCTCCCTCATCATCCTGGCCTGGAACCCAGCATTGTGTGGAGCCCTTTGGGGCCAGTTTGAGCAGAGCCTCTGGTCGAGCTACCCTCCCTACCTGCCAGCCAGACAGCATCTTGCAAGGGGATCACCGCCCCCCCCGCCACCCCGCCTGTTCCCCTTCCTCCCGAGCTGCCTAAAGGGGAGGGAGCCCAAGACCCTCGGGCGTGGCACCACAGGAGAACCCAGAGGCCACGCTCTTCCTTTTCCTGCCGGCAAGAGTCCTGAGCGTCAGCTTCCCACCTCAGAGCCTCTGAGAACCAGGGTCCACCCACCTGAGGGCGTCCTTGACTCTCCCTTACCCCGTGCCCATGGGAGCTGCAGGACCACCAAGCGGAGGGGCGGTCTGCAAGGAGATGCCCCCTCCCTACCTCCCTGCGAAGAGTAAATTCGGGCTGCAGATGCCCCTCGGGCTCCGCAGGGAGGAGCCTCACTCGCCACTCCAGCTTCAGGCTCTGCCTTTCTGATCCTAACACTCTCTACCCTCTGGGAATAAACGGGCCTCTGGGATCCGAATGGGAGCGGCCGCCCAGAAACGGGGATGGCGGGATGGGGAGTGCTTCGTGGGACGTCCTCAGGGACGGGTGCGGGGCCTGCCGGGCTGCGGGGCCGCGCTGGGGGCCGCGCTGGGGGGCGGATATTGGAAGCCACTGGCGCGCTTCCCGGAAGCCGCCAGCAGAGGGCGCGCGAGGACCGGCGAAGAGGCCCGGCCGCGCGGGAAGGCCCGGGTGGGGTGTAGTTAAGGGTGCGGTGGGTGCGGGGCAGGAGACCCGCGGCCGGGATTCTCTCCGATCTCGGGCGTGGGAGTGGAGTGGGGTGGAGTGCGGTGGGGCGGAAGGGTCCCTACTGCGCTGCTGCAGCGCGAACCCCCGCTCTTCTCTGCAGGAGGCGGCCCGATGCCTGTGGGCCTGGCGTGCCCTTCGAGGGGGATAGAGCCTCCCCGTCACCCCGCCGGGAGCTGAGACCGCGGATCTGGGACTGGTGATTTTGGTGCTGAATGCGGTGGGACCCCCTTCCCCACACTCAACCCTGGTCAGGACTCAGTTTCCCCCTGGGTGTGTTCTGTCCTTGATCCTGGATGTTCTAAACTGGGAGACCAGGTGGGGCGAGAACACCGAGTGGGCGGGAACCAGCACCTCCCCAGGTCCCCACCCCATCCCTCTTTCCCCGCCCACCTTGAACGCAGAGCCTGAGAGAAGAAAGAGATGGGGAGAGGAGAAAGGCGTGAGAGACGGAGGGAGGGGCTGCCTGGAGCAGCGTGGGGAAGTTGAGAAGGTTCATGGAGGAGGGCCGGGATGCGTGGAGACGAAGGCGGGCCCACCTCCCCGGGGGAAGCTCTTCCGAGACTGTTGCTGTCTTCCGAGACTGTTGTTGTCTGTGCCTCCTCCCGGGCTGAGCTGGGGGCTGAGCTCTGGACTGCATCCCAGGGACCATCGCTCCGCCTGTAGCCCACCTCCAGCCGCCGTGATTTATGGCTGGGCCAGGCCCGTCGACCTTGGACGGATAACTAATGACGGGTCAATAACGCTATAGAAAAAGTGAACTGGTGAAGGGAGGAGGGATGAGGCCCATTAGCCGGCCCATCCCCTGCCTGCCGGATCTCCCCTCTCATCCTGGTGCCTTTCACTATAGCCCCCTTGCTGGGGGCTTCCCAAGGGCCTCCTGACAGGTCTGAGAGGTGATGGTTAACACCGCTGCAATGGGGGTGGGGGTTGGGATAGAGGCGGGACCAGAACACATTGGAGAGACCCAAAATGGGTCACAGGAAGGTGAAGGAAACAGGTGGGGGTGGTGGGGGTTCCCGGGAACACACCCCTTTTCCATTCTCATATTGGGAAGCCAGCGTTGAGTGAAGGGGGAGGGAGCAGTCCCTGCCAGTGGAAGGCAGGGTAGTCTCGCAGGGGAACCCTGGTGCCCTCCACCCCCTCCACCGGGCTCCCTCCCCAGGCCCCTCTCTCTGGTGTCCTCTGCCTCCTTCCACCCCAAGCTACCTGAGGTCAGAGTGTTACTGTAGTCTTTGGGGGCCATCTCATTTCTGTGCCTGCTTATATGTGGGTTGTACAAGGCACTGGCTGGGGTCTCAGTTCCTGTACCATCTGGTTTCTACTGGGAGTGGACCACAGCCTCCTCCTCTCAGGAGTGCCCGCCTCCCTCCCCCTGTTTAAGGTCACCTGGGTCATCCCCTGGGCCCCTCATCCACTTTCAACACCGCTGGGAACCCAGAATTGGGAGTAGGGAAGCAGCCTTCTCAAAACCTGCCTCGATTTACTCTGCCTCGGTGTCAGCAGCCAGGTGCCAGTTTGAAAGCCTTTCTGTCTGCCGTCCCCATTTTGCAGATGAAGTTCGAGCTGAGAGAAGCCATCAGCAGAGGGAGGAGCTGAGACCAGAATTCAGTCATAGCCTCTCCCCTGTCCCAACCTCCCCGGGGTCCTGGGCTTCTCCCACTCTCTGCTCCTCCTTAACTCCGGCCCAACTCTGCCTGCAAAGGAGACCCCCAATGAGAGGGCCACTGAGGCAAGGGCATTCCACCCCCAGGTTAGACACAGGGTAACAGAAAAGTCTTGGAGGAAGTGTGGGGCCGTGACAGTGGGATAGGGGAAGATATTCGGTCCTGCAGGTTCCCATCATGGTGGGGACAATGGAAGCCCTGTGAGTATGTATGTGGATTTGTATGTGCACATGTATTCATGAATACAGTTATTCATTCAACAAACAGGTACTGAGTGGCTACCATGTGTCAGGCCCTGGGAATGTAGGGACAACACTGGGAGCTCCCAAGTGCTGTATTCTAGCAAGGGGCGCTCACAGGATAGGTATGTCTGAGGCTCGTGGTGGGGTGTGGACTCACTGCAGAATAGAAGTGGACCTGGGCACTGGCAGATGCGATGCAGCAATTCTCACTTTGCAGATGGAGACATAGAATCTTCCCCGTCTCCTCAACCCGCATTCCACTTCCAGCCTCTCACGTACCCGCCGTCCCAAACCAAACTCACCAGCTCCTCTCCCAAACCTGCTCCTGCTGGCCTGTCTTACTAGCTCTGGAAACCTCAGGATCCAGGACGGGCAACATAATCTTCAAGGCCTGGTGCAAAATGAAAACACGGAGCTTCTTAATAAAAAAGCGGAATTTCAAGACAGAGACAGCAGAATGTACAATCAGGCATGGAGCTTGTGTAAGTGCAGGGCCCTGTTAAGTCAGCCTGCCTGGTGCCTCCCAGCTGCTTACTCTCCCCTTCATTGACTTCCTGATCCTTTCCTTTCCTTTCTATGTCTTAGGCTAGCCCAGGCCTCATAGGTCTCTCAGGTGGACCAGCTCCACCCTCCTGGATTGCCTCCTGGCTTCCAGCCTCCCAGTCCCAGTCTGTCTGAGAAGTCTCATTCCCACCACACTCACCCAGTGCCATTCACCTGGACTCCTGTCCTCTTAGACTTCTTTTTTTTTTTTTTTTTTGAGACGGAGTCTCACTCTGTCCCCCTTGCTGGAGTGCAGTGGCCGGATCTCAGCTCACTGCAAGCTCCGCCTCCCGGGTTCAGGCCATTCTTCTGCCTCAGCCTCCCGAGTAGCTGGGACTACAGGCGCCCGCCACCTCGCCCGGCTAGTTTTTTTGTATTTTTTTAGTAGAGACGGGGTTTCACTGTGTCAGCCAGGATGGTCTCGATCTCCTGACCTCGTGATCCACCCGTCTCGGCCTCCCAAAGTGCTGGGATTACAGGCTTGAGCCACCGCGCCTGGCCCTCTTAGACTTCTTGTCCTCAAACACTCCCTACATCTCCCGGTTTCCATACCTTTTGTTCAGAATTCAGTTCCTCTAAAAACTTCCTTTCGCCACCTCCTCCAGGAAGACTATCTTGATTTAACAGTTGTAAATCTTATATCACAAACTATTTGGGTCAAAGCACATAGCAACTTTCTGCCTTCACTCATAGCCATTTGTCTGCCCCCTCCCATAAACTTAAGATTCTAGAAGACAGGGATGGTGTCTCATTATAACTGCCCCAGCACCTAACTGACAGGCACATGGTAGGACCTCAGTCAATACTTGTTGATGCAGCTGTGGGCGGGCACCTTTTACATGTGTGTGGGTGTTCAGACACCCTGAATTTTGTGCACAGAGCAGTGTGTAGGGCTTGTATTCATGTGCAAGCATTTCTGCTTATATGTGTACATATTTCCATATCTACATGAGCAATCATGTTAGGCACATACATGTATATGGACATAGTGGTTTCTGTAGGCATGTGTAGGAACTGAAGGTACACGGGTGTGTACGGCGGTATGTGCATGGATTTATATTGGCGGGTGTATATCCATGTCTAGTGGCAGATGTATGTGTGTGCGTAACACAAAAGGATGTTTGCATGGTCCCATGAGGTCAGGGTTGTGCCTGGACAAGTGCTGCAGGTGCACCCTACAAGGACATAGGCGCCTGGCGCATGTGCAGGCCGTGTGTGTGCACAGCTGCATGTCCTGGCGGCAGGCAGGCCAGATGCCCGGTGAGCACCCTGTGGCCGCTGAGCGCAGGGCTTTGTTCCTCCGCCGAGGAGGGCCGCGTGGTTTCGCGGCTCCTCGGTCTGGGCGTCTTGGGCCCCGCCGTGATTGGCGGCCCGGCGGCAGAGGCTGGGCTCCCTCCCGGGCTAGCGGAGCAGGATCGGCTCCCGTTACCGGCACGGGGTGGGGGTGGGGGGGCGCCAGGCCATCCATCTTCTGTTATTACAGCGTAATGGGGCTGCTCGGGCGCCCGCCCATTTGTCATCGGCCTCGTTCGCTGATAACGGGCATTTGTCATCACTTTCCTCTGCACCAATGTCATCAGCGCGGCTGACAGCGGGAGGGGGGGCGTGCATGAGCACAGGCGCGCGCACATGCACATGGGCCTGCTGGACAGATGCTCGCGCACACACACATGCACGCGGAACCTGAGAGGCACGCCGATCCTGGGGGACACATGTCCCTATGCGGGAATCAAGGTTCCCTGGAGAGAACACACTCACAGCAGCCTCATCTGTCGAGAAGATATTCCCAGCTGGAGATCCTCTTCCCCAGTGGAAGAGCTGTATGTAGGGGAGGCAGGGGGGAGGATGTTCCTGGTTAATGGCAGCTCATGGGCAGGTGGCCTTCTGCCAGCTCCGTGTGCACACGTGTGACATCAGCCACCAACATTTACTGTGCTCCCCACAGGCTGTACAGGCCTGAATGTGACTGTGCGTTTCATTGGCAGCACAGGGACAGCCAAAGAGTCACAATCAAGCTGGGTGCGGTGGCTCACGCCTGTAATCCCAGCACTTTGGGAGGCCGAGGCAGGCAGATCACGAGGTCAGGAGTTTAAGACCAGCCTGGCCAACATAGTGAAACCCTGTCTCTACTAAAAATACAAAAAAAAATTAGCTGGGCATGGTGGTGTGCGCCTATAATCCCAGGTACTTGGGGGGCTGAGGCAGGAGAATCTCATGAACCTGGGAGGTGGAGATTGCAGTGAACCGAGATTGCACCATTGCACTCCAGCCCGGGCGAGGGCGAGACTCCGTATCAGAAAAAGAAAGTCACAATCAGGGCTCCCAGGATTCTCAGACACAAGGATGTTGGTGGAGTCTGCATGGCTGGCTGGCGGGGAGGTGATGGGTACTGGGTGCTGGGTGGTGGGATGACTGATCCCCACAATGCCTTCCTCCCAACCCTCCAGAGGCAGTGTGGCGTGGGAGTCACTCTTCCACTCCTGGCCCCATTCAGGCTCTGAGCCTAGTCTGATCTGCAACAAGAGGGACTTAGGAAAGACTCCAGAAAGAACTTCCTGCCTGGAAGGGGTGTGAGGCAGATTGGGGCAGGGTAACACTGGAAGTCCAGGGAAGGGGAGGAACCTCCCCAACTTGTCTGTGTCCTATGCCCTCTAGGCTGGGTCAGGGGCCAGCCCACTTGGGGCATGGATATGTCTTTCTGATCCACATTCACTGCAGGATCCCAGAGGGGACTCCATTCGTGCTTACTAGAGAGACACCCACCCCCACCTCTCTGGTTCCTGATTGTTTGGCACATATTATGTGTTCAGTACATAGCTGTGGAATGAGTAAAGGATTGAAGACAGAGTGTATGGGGGAGATGGGAGGTCCTCCTAGTCCCTCCCAGAATGGCCACTAGCCACTGATGGCTAAGATCTCATCTCATGCCCTCTCCCTAACTCCCCTTTTCACTCCTGCAGTCCCCCAAATTCCCCTTCTCCCCCAGCCCTTCCCTCCTGGGCTGAGGGGGAGGGCTGGGGGGAAGTTCCCCTGGCAGAGCAGGGCTCGCTTGTTCCTTGTAAATGAAGACCATAATTAACATTAAATTAAGGTAATACAAATGAAGGCAACATAGAGGCTGACAAGATGAGCGTTTGGGGAGGCAGTGGGGAGAAGTGATTCATATTTTTAATTTACTGTACGGATGGGCCGTGTGGCTGGGGAGCGGGTGGCTTACGTGGAGGGGGTGTCGCCCCGCGATGTTTGCTGGGCTCCGAGTGAGCACACAATGACTATTAAACTCAACTGTCCATATAATGGGACAGACGCGACATGACGCCCACCGGAGCACCAGGAACCTGGCTGGCCAAGCTGTAAATCCTGCCCACACTGCACCCGCCTGCCTACCTGCCTGCCTAGCCAGTCTGGCCCAGGCCCAGAGCAGAACAGATGCAATCCCCAGGGAGCCTGAGAGGGGCTTTGGACCTGGGGAATCGAGGGGGCCCAGAGGGTCTGGGTTCTGCCCCAGAGTTGGGGGACACAGCAAGGTCAGATCCTGAACGTGCTGGAGTGAGAGGGGCCCTGGCATCCCATCCTCAGCGCAGCACCTTGGTGCCAGGATGGGGCTGGAGTTTGGGGCCCCCCTGCCACATGGTCCATTCCAGAAATTGAATAGAAGACACTGATGTCCCATCCCAAAGAGGGGAATTAGTCATTGTTGTCACCATCAATATCATCATCACCGCTCACATTTGTCAAGCACCACCCCCAAGCACTTTTTTTTTTTGAGACAGGATCTCACTCTGTTGCCCAGGCTGGAGTGCAGTGGCACGATCACAGCTCACTGCAGCCTCCACCTTCCTGGGCTCAGGTGATCCTCCCATCTCAGCCTCCTGAGTAGCCAGGACTACAGGCACAAGCCACCAGACCCAGCTAATTTTTGTATTTTTTGTAGAGACAGGTTCTTATTTTGTTGACCACGCTGGTCTGGAACTCCTGGGCTCAAGCAATCTGTCTGCCTTGGCCTCCAATGTGCTGGGATTGCAAGGCATGAGCCACTGCGCCCAGCCCCCCCTCACCCCGCAGCACTTCTAATCCATTCACCTCTCCCAGTGTCCCCGTGGCCATCCTATGAAGATATTATCCCTGTTTTACACATGTATAAACTGAAGCTGAGAGATGGGGAGTAACTTGATCACAAAGCTTCTAAGTGTCCACTGCCTTACATTGAAAGAGTAAACCTCAGAGCCTGCGGCAGCCCCTGGATCTGGTAAACTCTGTGCAAGGAACGGAGGCCAGGATCCCAGGCAGCCCTCATCCATGGGACCCTGAGGCCTTAGACTCGGGGCTCTCCAGGGACTTGGGGTGTGTGTGTCCACATCCACCCTCACTCCAGTCAGAAGAAAGGTGCCACCAACTCCCAGCCAGGCAAGGAGGGATTCCTGCTTACTCACTCTGCAAATGGGGCTGAAAGATGCTCGTCCGTGGGATGAGAGACGCAA